CCGACAGGCAGGTGCTGAGGGCCTTCCCCCGAGGGGCTGTTCCCCCCCTGCGCACGTAGGTGTGAGGAAGGAGGGGGGGATTCCCCGTCCGTGTGCTCGGGACCCTGCAACGAGGGGCAATTCCCCGTACGTGTGCTCGGGACCGTGCAACGAGGGGCAATTCCTCATGGGAGTGCTCAGGACGGGGCCGCAGGGAATAATTCCCCTCCCCTCCATGTCCTCATGACTGTGCAACGGGGGGTAATTCCTCGTAGGAGTGCTCAGGACCCTGCAACGGGGGGTAATTCCTCATAGGAGTGCTCAGGACCTTGCAACGAGGGATAATTCCTCATAGGAGTGCTCAGGATGGTGCAGCGGGGAATAATTCCCCCCCCCAGCTGCGCTCATGACTGTGCAACGAAGGGTAATTCCCTGTGCACAGGGTCACGCAGTGAGGGGCAGCTCACTCCCCCCCACATTTATGCTCAGGGCTAAGCAGTAAGGGGAAAATTCCCCCCCATGTAGTTGCAAAAGACTATGCGATAAGAAGAAATTCGAAGGCCCGTGTGGTGATGGGCCATAATCTTTGTATAAGATGGACCATAATCATTAGTCCCCAAAGCTAAAGGGAGAAAGGAGGACTTTCCTCTTGAGGGACCTTCCTCACACATCCCTTTGTGGTCTCTGTACCTGCTGTTAAGACCACAAGTTAGGGAGTAACGTGATTTAGACCTTTTCTGGGTTCGTGACACCCTCACTCGCAGTAGGGAGGTCCATTTTGTGTGAGAGCGCTTTTTTTCTTGTTCCCACGTTTGAGGAATTTGGGCCTGGGTGTAGGGCTTGTGTTTGGATTTATGACCCCCTGAGAGAATCAGCCTCCTCTCTCAGGAACAGCCCCTGCAGATGTAATTTACTTATTTACCTGCTTTCCCTGCTCTGTTACCTGATAAGGAGGAGAGAAACCAGATAATGATGACTCCTCTGTGTGTAATATTTGTTGGTGCTGTCTGTGCACGAGGTGGGGTTTGGTTACATTTTCCGATTTTCGCTTTGCTCTCAAATACCTGGGATGCTGTTGGCTGAGCATACGGTTAGAGAAATCAGGTGTGCCAGCGAGTATTTATACTTTTGAAAGTTAGATCTGTAACCCCATCACTCCACCTTGCTTTTTTTCTTAATGTTTTTTTCTTTTTTTCTTTTTTACCTTCTGCTCTCTCCTGGTTTAACTTTGTTTGAGCAGATGACACCACCCCTTTTTTGACTGCTAGTGCAAGGTACATGGCCAGTACAGAGCAGGGCCTCTTTTTAACTGGTTTAGTTTAATTCTGGAACAGTATTTTTGTGTGAGAATTCTCACAATATTGTGTGGGAATATACTGAATTTCTTTGTTCCCCGAAGGGAAGAAATACATAGAGGTGGACAGGGGCGAGGTATGGTGTGGTACGTGTAGCTAATAGAGTTTTTATCTTTTACCCAAATAGTGGGTTTTTTTGGTACGAGAATTGTTTGTGTAAGCGTAGCTATTGCATTAATTTCTTAGCCCATCTTGTGTCTTCTAAAAGAGTCATGTAGGAGAGCCTTATGTTTGACCAGTTAAACCCACAGAGTATAGAAGTAAATTCTGGCCTTGATTTAGGGGCAGGTGTTTGGGGTTGGATTCATCTCAGCTGTCTGTAATCTTCTGAAAATGAGGTATTTAGTTCAAGCTGCATCTCCAGGTGCTCGCTACTGACAAAAGGCTCCCTTAGGGTGATTTATCCTCTTACAGGTAAGTAACGTGATTTGCCTTTCTTTAGTGACTGTCAAGGAGCGTAGATTAACTTTTTAGGTGGCTAAAATTGGAGAGTTATGGCTGGTTTGTTACAAAATGAGAGAGAGGGAGCCCTGGAAAGGGGAAAAAGGGATGTTTTGTGGTCTAGCCTGTGAGCTTGCTACGTTACCTGAGAGGCAGGTGAGTGTCTTGCTGAGTTCTGGGGTTGCTAGAAGCACGTGAAACACTCTTTGTGTGGGGCAGCGCAAACTCGTAATTTGGAAATTGTTAGTAAAATTATTTTTTCCTAGGTTGTGTCGTACCATGTTAAAGGACCATCATGTGACGTCTCGACAGTCTTTTCACCAGCTTGCGCAAAAGAGACCATTTCTTCCGTCTGCAGTATGGCATAATGCAGGTAAAGGCTGGTTAAAAATTAATAGATGAGCCCATTGTGAGTTTTTATGTCTTGCGGTAAG